TGGAGAACTCCTCCGAGGGAGGAGGACCATCCCGAGTTCCTTGCTCGGGAGGTTGAGGACGTCTTCCGTTCCTATTGCGCGGGCCTTTTGAGGTCTGAAAGTTTCGACCTCAGGTCCTGCGTAATTGACCCGGAACCGGCGCCCAAGGCGGAGCCGGCTCCCAAGATGAAGCCACCTCCTCCATCTCTGTCGGTCAGTAAGGGCCTTCCTAGGCGGTCGGCTCCTGCGGTACATACTGGGTCGGCTCACACCGCCAAGCGTCCAAGAGAGACTGGCGGTGGCTCCACAGGGAGCGTGCAGATCCCAGGACATTATTTCGGCAAAGCCCGCACAAAGGAATCCCCTGTCCAACCCTCTGAACCGCCAACGGGCGGGGCAGGGGGGAGCGCACAGCCGTCCGCAATGGATGTGGATAAAGAGGGGAGTAAGGGCGATGAGAAGAAGACCAAAGCGGCCAAGGAGGCTGCCGTAGCGTCAAAGAGCGCCAAGCCGCATCCGGCGAAAGCGTCACGTCCTGAGGCCCTAAGCGGCTTGGTGGATGTGACGCTGATCAGCGATGTACGGGAGCGTGATCGGGATATTTCCGATGACGAGTATTCCCCTACGAATGTGTGCATGTTTCCGGAGTCATGGGAGGGCGTAATGCCGACCTCCGTAACTGAGAAGGCCGGAGGCTTTGAGCAGTTCAGAAACGAGCTCATGAGGATCCAGAGAATCCTGGATTCTCCGGCGTTGGTTGACCTTGGTAAGGTCGATCTGGACGCTCTGGGCGAACCGCCCAGGGAGTACGTCTCGGATGAGGATCACGAGAGTCACGTAGATGATGATGGGATGGGCCCATATGTGGACAAGTTCTCATCAATGGGCGACCGCGACCTAGTGCCCTCAAAGCAGGAGCCGCCTTACTATGAGGCAAAGGCGTGGCGTACCACTGAAGAAGAAATTGAAGGATGAAGAGCCTTTTTCCATACTTTCGTGCCGAAAATTATCGGCTTATGTCGGCGGGGACTGGTCCCATAGGTACCAAAGCGCACGTACAGGGCGTCCTCCCTGCTGGTGCGTCGCTAGAGGAGGCACTGATGGCAAAGCCCGATGTGTGCCCGATTGCGAGCAACTACAACCTCACATACGAGGGTGAGGAGGTTGTGTTTGATGCACAGAGCGGGACAGCAGGCAGAATCGCCTGTCCTGCTGGTAACGACATCTTCCATTTTTTCCCCGAAATTAGGGATGTGTCGGCGATGGTTGGACGAAGCTCCAGAGAGTCGCAAATGCTGTTAGAAATTTTGTCGGGCAACACTGACCCAACGCGGTTGAACGTGAAGCCCGGTGAGCCGGCTCCCTTCTTGTGTGGGACGGTTCCGGACATTCTGGGAGGTTGGATGTCAATGACTCTAATCTCAACGCTTTTTGAGGCCCTATACGGGATCCATAAATGCACGAGCGTCGAGGTGGCGACCTGGGCGGGTTCTCTAGCGAAGGAGAACCCAGCGTACCCTCCAGTCGAGCTCCTAATACGGACAGTCTGGAGGGGAGATGGCACGACTGTGCGCCCGAATGAGGTACTTTTTGCACGTTCCACCCTAATCGGGAGGGATGTGCCGTTCAAAGTTTTCAGGCGTTGGGCACTGCGTGGCCGAACGCCTATGGGGCCTTTGCTTAGGCCGATGGGAGCAGCGGAGGTCCCTTATACGGGATACGTGCTGCTGACGATGGCCGAGTATCGGTCCGCCCTCAAAACGAGGTGCATCCGGAGGCCCGGCAAATTCGCCATCACAGTTTTCCCCATGCGACCTGAGCAGGTCTGCAGGGGGGAGATCACGATTGGGATGGAGGGCGCAAAGGTGCCTCTCCTCAAGTTGCCAAGCCCCAATAGTGAGGGCGAATTTTATGTTGACGACCGCGTAAAATACATGGACAAGCGCCATGTCGTTGTGGCCGTTGACCTGAAGTGGATGGCCATCGAGGAAGCCGCCGGCATCTACAAAACCCGACGCGGTTTGATTGCCGTGCGAGAGGAGATACATGCGCCCTTCTGGCGCGCATGCTATCTGCACCAGGAAGGGGATGTAATATACATCCGTCCCTGGGCGGTCCGTGAGTTGAATGTTCAGGGACCGCGGAGAGGGGTGTCATTTTCATGGGACAAAGCTCCCATGCATGACTACTGGTGCCCTCGGTGCGCGCATTTGAACATGTATGGCACCATTCTATGCAATGGTTGTCATTTGCCGATTTTCTATCGAGAGTGGGTGCCAGGCACCATCCGCTCCCAAGTTAGGAGAGGGCAACCAGTCTGGTTGGACGGACTCAAGGCAGTCCGTGCCAGCAGCTGGTATGAAGGGGAGACCGACGTGTGGGCCCCTCTCATGGCATCGGTAAACCCGATCCGCGAGGTGGTCAGCTGTATGATCTCCGGTTTGCGCTGTGCGCCGCACCTTGTGCACAATCCCAATGCGGATGTCGTGCAAGTTGCGTTCCAGGAGGTTGCAAAGGTCACCTCAAAGGACACTCACGCTTGTGTGCGTGCGAGTGATGAGGCTCTCGAGCGGTGGGTAGCGAAACAGCTGCTCATCGAAGAGAGCAATACTGGCGTCCCAATTCCCGACAATATGTCTGTCATGACATATTTGATCGAGCACCCGCAACAGGCGGCGCAATGGGGTCGTCATATGACGAGAAAGGGCAGTCTAAATTCAGCATTTGCCCTTTACCTCTCTGTGCATATTTATGATGCCTACCGCATCGGGATTGAGGACGGATATTTGGTTCCGCTGTATGGCCTAGGCGCCTCACGCGCGGACATCATAATGTCATTGGTACAGGCTGAGCGACGCCTCGCGGACTTCAATAGTGAGGACCCAAGTTTTGATCCCTCCACAGTTCTTGATTTGAGTATCGACTTTCTGCGGGGCAGTGGTGGATCCATCACGGCCCCGATTGAGTATGCTGAGGCATACATTTATGTCGAAGACAACAAGGTTGACATGGTCCCAGCTGCACAGCGGGACGGCCAATGCGCCATTGTTTTTGCTGACCCGCCGACTGGGAAGCACCACAGGCGGGCAGCCACTCCTAGGGGAGATCATCGGTCTGCTACCCCGCGACCTGAATCCAGGTCAAAGGGGGATCAGCAAAAGGGCAAAGCCCCTGCGCAGTCCTGGCCCAAGGGTGGAGGTCACAAGGGTGACCAGTTTCCAGGAAAGGGTCACAAGGGTGATCAGTACAAAGGCAAGGGTGGCCAATACGGCTACCAACAAGGGCAGTTCGGTCGTGGCGGATCCGCCAGATCGAGAACGCCCACTGGCGGGTATCAGCCTGATGCTCGCGGGTCGGGATACAAGGGTGCACAGGCTGCCCCTTACCCGTTCCCGAGTCCGATGTATCCCACTTTCCCTATGGGAGGATACATGCAACAGCCTATGGCTGGCATGATGCCACAAATGTGGCCTGGCGCAATGCCGCAAGGTTGGCAGCCGCATATGCAGGGTGATCCCCGCGAGTTCGAGAATCCGAGCTCGCCGCATACCCCTACATGGGGTGACGGTGACGAGTTGGCTGAGACTGTGCCTCCTCCCCCTGGGGACTGGAATGTCAACAAGGGGAAGGGGCGGCACGGCGGTGGACGACATCGGTGATACCTGAAGTCTGTCCGTGCGTTTTGCATGGCTGCGCCAACGCGCGCATGCTTTCATTCCGGAATTCACAAAATGGACTATGCTCCTTGTAGTATTTCTTTGTCCGGGCTATTCGCCATTTCAGAATTCATCTGCATGTGTGGCTGTGCGCTATTCGCGCAAGCTGCGATTACCTGTCAGGTGTGCGTCGCCACAGCAAGGCAGTCACCCTCGGTGGCGTCTATGGCCGCTGGTGATCTGCATCCTCCTGAACCGCTGCTGCTGCTGGTGATGGAGCTCATCAAGGTGCTGGGGTGAGGATCACGGATGCCCCGCACCGCTGCCGGTGAGGTCCTACTCGGACCTGAACCGCCGAATGCCGCTGGCAGTATCCCTGGAGGTTGTTTTCGAGTGATCGCGCGCCTAGACGGTGCCGTTCAAGGCCGAGATATTTCGGTCTTTGCACCACGTTTCAACCAACAAGCCAATGCGCTTTTGACTATATAATTCAAGCCCTAAATCCACGTGAATCTAATGATTCAATGTGGTTGCATCGCATATATTTCATGCCTGCCATCTTGGAGTTGAATCTTTGTTTCTGTTTCGTTTTGCTTTCTCTTGTTTGATTTGGCTACCGGCGAGAATCCGCCCCATACCCGTAATTCGGGGTGGTGGCGGGATCCGGGCTCCAATGCGAGCCCGGGTGTGGGGTCGTGAACCCTGGTAGCCTAATCTCCTGCTTTTCCTTGTTTGTTGCTACACAACTTCAACATGGCCAATGCGCCTTTCCAAATTCACTCCTTCTCTGTGTACAGGCGAGGGGGGTGTTTTTGGGGGCATGTACTTTTATCGCAACATGTTTAATTTCATGCCAATGCCCAACGCGGCATTTGGCTCAAGCTTTTCAATCCGGCAACTTGCCCTTGCAATTTCGTCACCGCGCCCCGCGGCACTTCGTGCTCGTCTCCGGCAAAGAGTGTCGCTGCCGAGCGCCTGTGGTGGTGTTCCCGGTGGAGGTTGGTCGGGGGTTCTGGTTGGGGTTGGTGCGCATTTGGTTTGCTTTGCTCGCTTGCTGCGCTGCTCTGTTTGCCTGCTTGGTTTGCTGCTTTGTGCTTGCTTTCGGTTGTCTCTGCCCTTGCTGGGTTTCTTTACCTTGTTACAACTGGCACCCTGTTTTGGTTCGTGTTTGGCCAGCCGGGGGCACCGCTTTGCCCTTGGGACTGGGGGACTTAAACAATCTCTTCTTGTTGGTGGGATTGGGCCTGTTTATTCTCTCCCGAAACTCTGTTTCAAACCCTTTCGCACCTTCAAACCAATCCCAAGGGCAATGAGGCTCAAATCTGCGGCGTTCGCCGCGCTCGGCGCCAGGCTCACCGGACCGCCATGGCCGAGCTGCGCACCGAGCCTGAGCCGGAGGTGCCCGAGGTGAAGGAGGCGCGAAAGCGGGCGCGGGGTCGCTTGGCCCGGGGGAACGCCTGTTGACCCTGAAAGGAAGTCCTTTGGCCGTGGTTTTCAAAATTAAAGCACAAGGGGACCGCAGGTTGTAGTCCAAAAGGTTCCATTTGCTAGGGTTCCAAAATGGATACCCATTTTTGACCCACAGCCAATTGGCTGTCGTTGTCAAAACCGTTTTGGGATCCCATTTTGGTTGGTAGGTGAATTCAACACCCATTTGAGAACCTATTTTAGTGGGGATTGGGATGTTCACTGGGGGTACGGGCTTTTGACCCAAAGCCACCAACAAACCCTGGGGAAATGGTGATCGGTTTTTGAAAAGAGCGATGGCTGAAAAGAATGGGGAATCAACCCCTAGATTAATAGAGGGGTGTCCCTGTTCAGAAACTCGGAATCCTTCACTTTTCTAGGTGCCCCCCCCATTCATGGGTCTACGAATCCAGGGTCCCCAGTGAGAGGCTCATTGGCGGGCAGTCCCAGTCATGCGGCCGTTTTTTGCGGTTCTTTCCGGTTGTTTTGTCCATCTTGAACATATGCAGAATGAAGCCAATGGTCCTGGCAAACAGGCCGGCAAGAGGCAAGTGCCGAGCCACAAGAAAGAAAAGGATAGGTGAAAGTTCGCGGCGGCTATCAGTCGATTTGATTCTTTAGTACAGGGGTTTGGGTATACCCGTTCAATACCAGATGTTGATTAAGACCTGTAGGGAGATTCGATAGTTGGACATGTTGGAACGAGCTGACACAGCGCAAAGCACCCCCAAGCTGGTCAACCAAAGGTGGCAACAGGACAACCACATGCTCCCCCAAACAACAACACGCACACAGACATACTCCTAGGAAGGTTGTCACAGCAAGCGCACATGTGTGTTGCTTTGATGTTTCTAGTTTTTCAGGTGTTACTAAACATGGGCCTTCATCTCATGTTTGTCAGTTGGGCGCCAACCTAGTGGGAGCCCCTCTTATTGTTGAACTCCTGGTTGCTCAAGAAGGGTGACAGCCATCATTGTAGAGGACATCAAACCTTCCAAGTTTTTTTTGTTTTTTCAAAGGGGGGGGTCGATTCCCATCATACCTCCCCAAGCGGCTTCCGCACACCCGCCGTTTTTTGCCTCCCAGGAGGTGCCCGCGGCTCCGCTTCCGCCCGCTTCGCCCGTCAAGGCGGGGGCGGGGCGGGGGGTTGGGTGCTGGGTGGACGGCAGGTGATGCCTGACTTAGGTCGGAAGGCCAACAGCTTCAGAGGACCCATTTTCAGGTGGGGAAGCGATCCATGCAAAGGATCTTTATCTGATTTTGCCAGAGGGTGAAGAGGGGGTCCCTCTTTTGCTGGAAGCAGGGACATATTTTTGGGGCTCATTTCAGAAACCAGGCAGGTTCACTTGGGAACAAACTCGCTTTGCTCATGTGGGTGAGGTACCCTTTCTCGGTGCCCATGCGGGGAAACTTGTCGCAGGAACGAGCTGAAATTTCTTCAGGAAGTGGGTCAATCACGCCCGGACCTTTTAAGACATTTACAAAAACACATTTATCGCAAAACCAAGGAAATCCCCCAAGGAATTTCCTGGCAACACCCAAGTTTCTCTGAGAATTCCCCCAATTCCTCTGGTCCAACACAAATCCTCTGGGGCTGGGTGTGGCGGACGGGTCGGTCGGTAATTTTCAGGAAAAACCACGGGTTTCTCCAAGGAACCCCCCAAAACCCGTCCTTTGGACCCATCCCCTCGGGTTGTGCGGGACGAAAAAAAGTTCGTCGCTGGGCGCTTCTCGCCTCGCCTCGGCTCGGTGTTTCGCGCGTCGGTTTGGTCGGCAGATCCTGGAGGGCGCCAAGGCCAAGGCGGCGGAGGTGGCAGAGCTGGCGGCCGGGAAGGTGCAGGCGGCCAAGGCAGCGCGTCGCCCGTGGCGTGGGGGGGGGGGGAGACTGCTGGGGGGGGGGAAGGGGGTGGTAGGGGGGGGGGGTTGGTGGGAGGGGCGGGGAAGCAGCGGGTTGTTTGTTTTTGTGTGTCTCCTTTTTTTGCGGGAGGCAACAGGTGCAGTTTTTTTGGTTTGGCAAGGTTGGGGGAAGTCTGGATTTGGAAGGAAGGCTACAGAGATTTGTTTGCAGTTGGGTGGTTTATCTCAGGGCCGAGCACTTTTCCTGCTTGCCAACTGGTGAGACCTGGATTTTGGCAATCCAACGTAGGATTGAACCGCCTCCCCGAAGATCGACTTGCCTCACGAATGAGGCCTTGTCCCACCGGCAAACCAGTGCTTCCCTGTACGGGAATCTCTGGATCCAACTAGCTGGGTCCGATTTCTGGGAACCCAGAGGTTCAGACATTTGGCATTTGTTGATTACCCCAAGGCACACTTTCACCCTGAATTCCCCAAAGCGGCTGACACTTGTTGTGGATTTCAGTTTTCTGTATCTTGGGGCTTAGCTCAAAGAAATGCACCCTGGTTTCAGGTGTCCATTTTCTGTGACACAGGCAATTCTGCGAAGTTACCAAAACTTATGTCGCCATTAGACAGGCGGCAGTTGCTTTCGCAGGCACAGACCAGCGAGTCTGTGACCCTGGTGATGACCAAGGCAGCGGAGATGAGGCCTTTTTGGTTTTCTTGTCTCAGCTGCGTTTCTAAGCCTTTTGGAGAAATACACGGGGCTGGTAAATGCTTTGAAGCAAACCACGAGTGGAATCCATCTATTTTCAACCAACACTGTCCTGCAAAGGACACCTATGTGTGAGGGGAACGTTGTTGGGGGTTGCCTGACTGGGAACCAACCCAGTTTTCGGGCTTGTTTTGCTTTTTGGCTATGCGGTTTCCCTGTTTAAAGGGCACTCTGTTCGAGGTTGGCTCAAACGGAACCCAACAGGCAATCGCCGTGATGGAGGTTCCGGTGCGAGTTCTGGAGATGCAGAGGTTGTATACACCGCATTGTTTGAGACACAACACAACATGAAGACCACCATTTTGGGGGTTCATATGGCTTTGTCTCGTTTGGGGGGATCATATCCCAAAATGGTTCGCTTTTTCAATTTGTTTTGCTTGCAAACCCCAGCCATATCCATATCCATATTCATATCTGACACATGTCCAGCTGAAAACGCTGCTTGTGGATTTCGCCTGTTCTTCCCCCTTGTAGGTTCTTCTTTGGTACTCTTTCAATATCCTACCGGGGTTGCACAAAGACCACCTCCAAACCGTTTTCTAGAGTCCATCTCCGAACGGAGATGAATCTTAGTGGGGCACCCTTTGGACCTCAAAGATCGGTGGGGATAAAAAGGTCCAGCCACTTTGGAGGTGACTCCCTATCGAAATAACCCACCAACATGGTGGGGTTTTTCTTTCAATTTAAATGTCCTTTTTAAACCCAACCCAACATGGTTGGGCTTTTCTTGTTGTCCTTTTAAACCCAACCCAAAATGGTGGGTTTTTTCTTGTTGTCCTTTTAAGCCCATCTCCGGATCCGTATCCAGATCCACAGGTCCTCCATAGCCTGACCCCTTCGGTTCGCTTTGCCTTCGCCTTGGCCTTCGAGTGGGGACTCCTCGCAGGGAGTCGGCGCACACAAAGGCGGAGGAGGCCACCGGAGCGGTGCAGCAGCGGTGGCAGCAGCTCAAGGCCGTGGCAGGTGGGGGTTGGGGGGGGCGGGGGGAGGGGGGACCAAGGGTTGAGGGATGGGGGGGGGTTGGGGGGTGGTGGAAGGTTGGTGGTTGGTTGGTTGGTGGTTGGAAGGTTGGAAGGTTGGAAGGTTGGAAGGTTGGAAGGTTGGAAGGTTGGAAGGTTGGAAGGTTGGAAGGTTGGAAGGTTAGTGGTTGGTTGGGTGGTTGGGTGGTTGGGTGGTTGGGTGGTAGGAAGGTTGGGGTCGTTGGGGGTTTGGGGTTCTTACCTCCAAAGTGCGCTTGCTGATCTGCTGGCCCAGGCGCCAGCTACAAGTCCCTGCGGGAGGAGGGCCCGAAGGCGCGGGCGCCTGTGTGGTCGAAGCCTCTTGCTTGGGCTGGGGCTAGGGATGGTCAAAAGACTTGGGGTGTTTGTGACCGGCGCTGGACAGTTTTGTTTTTCCCCCAGGGGACCATGACGATGAAGAGGAGCTACCGGGTTGAGATGCGCTTCTCACTTCCCAAGTTGTTGGGCTGCTTACAAATTGGGGGAGGACAAATTTGGTGTGGGCAACACGGACGATTGTACTCTTTTGGGTCAATCTGCATGGGAGGTGAGTTTTGTACGTGGCTTCCCTTTCAGCAATCAGCAACCAGCAAATCGGTTGCTCGGGCGGTTTTTGCCTTTTTGGGTTTCCTTAGAAAATAACAATCCTGCCCATCTTTAATCACCTACCGTATTTGGATGACCGCTTTGTGCTTCGGAGCCCTGTAAAACAAGTCTCCCGAATAGTCAACCCCCCCCCCACCCACACGCTGCAGGCTTGGGTCTTTCAGAACTACCAAAGCGCCCGCCAGTTCACCGTGAGCATCTTGGCCTCTTTTGGTGGAGAGTGCCAAATCGTTTTCCCCGGTGCTTTCAGCTTTCTGAGGCTTTTCCTTTTTTGGAAGGATTGCAGAGGGCATTTGTGGAAGCCCCAGAACTGGGGGTTTGGGGAAACAGGCCTGAAATCCGCTCTGCTTGTCGAGGGTTCTGGGTTCCGTACCAAGGTACCCTCCCCCTTGGCAAATTTCTTCGGGTTGTGCTTCCCCAAAGCAACCCAACTAAGCAAAAGTTCCTTTCCCCCTTCTCGGACCCGTTGAGTCTTTGATTCTGTGGGCGCGTCAAATCCCTTTGGCGCTCCTTTCTAGGGTGACTCCTCTGATCACATGAATGACACATTCTTGTCTGAAATCGAGCGAGCTTACCACGGGAACGAGCTCCCTCCACGTAGCTTGTGAGGGGTTCTCACTGCCATTTCTGCGGAGAGGGTGTTTGTTTGTTTCTTTCTTTCTTTCTTTCTTTCTTTCTTTCTTTCCTTCCTTCCTTCCTTCCTTCCTTCCTTCCTTCCTTCCTTCCTTCCTTCCTTCCTTGTCTGTCTGTCAGTCTGTCTGTCTGTCTGTCTGTCTGGCTGGCTGGCTGGCTGGCTGGCTGGCTGTCTGCCTGTGTGCGCATGTGCAGTCTAGCCTGGAAACCAATCTTTGCCCCCTTTTGGTGTCCCCCAATGACAGGGGTCCTTGTATTTTCATCTTGGGAGGTTTGACACATCATCATCTATGTTGACAAGGTGCGAACCCTTGAGTGACATCAGGAAGCAAGAAATACGCTCTTCCTTGTCTTTTGACTATGTGAAGGCTTGTTAGCCCCCTCAAACATTGGAGGATGGGGAGGAGGTCCGTCCTACGTGCAACCAAACCTGATCCACAGCGTGATCCCGACTTCATGAACCATAACCTGATTACTAGGGAGGTGTCTCCTGCAAAAGGGGCTTGTTCACTTTCAGGGAAATCCCGTTCTCCACGAGGTTGATCAAACCGGGGTCGACATTATGCGGTTTGGGGCTACTCTTTTCCGAAACAACGGTTGTTCCAAACGAGCCAGATTTGCTGTTCTGTTGTGGGTGTTTTTTAGCGCCTTGGCCCGAAATCGGCATCCGTGTTCAAAGCATTTCTCTGATCTGCTTGTTGGGTGTTTTTGGGTGCCTCGGCCCGAAATCGGCCTCCGTTTTCAGAGCATTTCTCTGATCTGCTTGTTCCGTTGTGGGTGTTTTTTAGTGCCTCGGCCCGAAATCGGCATCCGTTTTCAAAGCATTTCTCTGATCTGCTTGTTGGGTGTTTTTTGGTGCCTCGGCCCGAAATCGGCCTCCGTTTTCAGAGCATTTCTCTGATCTGCTTGTTCCGTTGTGGGTGTTTTTTAGTGCCTCGGCCCGAAATCGGCATCCGTTTTCAAAGCATTTCTCTGATCTGCTTGTTGGGTGTTTTTTGGTGCCTCGGCCCGAAATCGGCCTCCGTTTTCAGAGCATTTCTCTGATCTGCTTGTTCCGTTGTGGGTGTTTTTTAGTGCCTCGGCCCGAAATCGGCATCCGTTTTCAAAGCATTTCTCTGATCTGCTTGTTGGGTGTTTTTTGGTGCCTCGGCCCGAAATCGGCCTCCGTTTTCAGAGCAT